TGTAGAGAATGTAGAGTACAGAAGATTGTTTAGAAAAACTGGGAAATACTCATTCTATAATCTCACATTGGAGAGACAACTGCTCTTAACATTTTGGATTATTTCTTCTTTGCTTTTTTTAACTACATGGTTTTAAACATGATTGAGAACAGATAGTATATATACAATTTTGTATCCAGCTTTTATTTTCTGTTTGGCATTAGCATTTTCTTATAGCTTGAAAAACTCTTTGCAGAAAACCATTTCTAATGGCTGCTGAATAGTCCATCTTGTGGTTATACCCTTAATTCATTTTCATAAGTCCTCTTTTTGGACATTTAGTTTGTTTAAACTTTCTTGTTATTATAAATGAAGTTCCAATGAATATCTTTACACATAAGTCTTTGTTGAGATGATTTCCTTAGAATAGAACGTCCCAATGTGGAATTGCTGCACAAAGGGAATGCATATTTTTAAAGTTCTGGCATGTACCACCTAATTGCTTGCAAGATTTTTAGAGTATGTGCGTTTTTAAATAAAATTTTGCCTTTCCTAACCCCTAACACCTGAATCTAGAATTTTTAATATGAGTTTTAAATGATTATCTTGGCTATGGTGTTGTATTTATTTTCACACTCTACAGAAAAGGTTAAGTTGTTCTTTGTATAAATTCATACAACCTTTCTAGAGCACAATATACCTTATATATGTCAAAATCCATACATTTCTGATTCAGTGACATAGGAATTTATCCAAAATAGTCAAGAATCTTACCTATAAGGATGTTCATTGACATATTATGTAAAATAGTAGAAACTTGAGACTGTCTAAATTTCTGACAGTGGGAAAATAAATAGTTTTATATTTATTCATTGCAGTCTATGTAGAATGACACTTATACAAATATTTTACAGACATGGTAAAAAAATTCTTTTTAAAGGTAGGTTATGCAGTGGGGTTGTGATTTCATTTTTATAAAGAAAAGTCACATGTACATAGGGTTGGCAGCTTATGCACATTAAAATATTAAAGGTGATATTCCAGATGATGGGACTATGAACAATTTTGATATTATTTTTTCTGTTTTTAAAATTTTTCAAAATTCTTTTGAGGTCAGATTATTAAAAACTGTATTCTAAAAATGTTTCTTAAATTTTTGGTATATAAGAATGAAATGATTCAGTTGTAGGTTCTATCCTTACAGTCATGCTTAACCCCCAAACTCTCTCAACGCCGCCAAATTTCCAAACCCTAGCTTTCTTGAAGAAGGACTAGGGTCTTCCTACTCCGGACTATGACGTCTGCCAGCCTGCTGTTTCATCTTTGCTTTAGCTTGCTATCAGTGGACTTGATGATCATTAAAGTACTTGGCAGAAACCAGCAATAACTCTGGCCAAGATCCTTTCACTGTTGCCTTTCTCTGTGAAATAGAGCTGCTCTGAAATGAGTGAAACTAGGTGCTAGTAGGGCTAAAGGAGTGGAGGCTCCTGGCTGACTGGAAATAGTCCATCTTGGACCCGGCAAGCCAGTGGGTGTTTTGAGCCAGGCTTCAAGGATGGCTTGTAGGCAGGCCTGCTCCAGGGGCGTACTCTATGCTCCTGCCATCCTCCTTCTCTGTCCCTGACCTCTGTTTTCCTGAACTTGTAAGTAACAAATGTGATGGTGATGATGATGATGATGTTGTTACAATCTTTATGAGGCAGCATATTGCAATGGAAAGAGCCCCTGCTTTGGAGTCAGGCTTGGATTAAAATTCTAGTTCTTTTCTTAGCTGATAAGGTCAGCAAATGGCTTCACCTTTCTGAACCTCTGTTTCTTCATCTGTAAAGTGGGAACAGAAAGTGCCTGTCTTTCAGGAGATACGCAGACCAAATGACACTACATACTTTAAAGTGGCTAGTATGGTTGCTGGTCCTCAGTAATTGCTCACCCTGTTTGTTTATCCCACTCCTTTCCCAACCTTGTGACTTTACATCTGGGACTGGAATTGACTCTCTGATGACCCTAGCTCAGCTTGCCTGGAATGAGTGAGGCCTAGGCCAAGTGGTGTGGATCCCTCCAAAGAGAATTGGAGCCTGAAACTCATCATCAAGGTAAAATGAGTTCTTGGCTCAGCCATACCACTGACTTTTTAATGGGATCTTGGGCAAATCAGTTAACATTCTGTGCCTTGGTATACTCCTTTTAAAATGGAGAGATTACCTACTCCACCTACTTGGTAGAAGTTATGTGAGGTTGTTGGATTTGAATGTAGTAACAGAACAAAACACCTTTGCATAACTACTATGCAACTGTCAAGTGAATTACTGTTCATAAAATGGTAAAGGAAATAGTATTTCATATGTAGTAATTATTATGTACAATGATGCAGGTGAAATTTTAGCCGGGTGCCTGGCACATAGTAAGTACTCAGTAAGTGGAGGCTCTTGTTGGCAGTGTGGTTGCCTTTGATCATCAATATTTTTAAAAGTCTGATAAAGATGAAAAAGATGAACTTGCAGGCAGACTGTCCCCAAGGGCACTTTGTGCCTAGAATATGGTAAAAAGTTAGTACATATTTTTATTAATTGGTTCAGAAGTGATAGTAAAAATCATAGTAACGAAACCAATATTTGCATAACAGATAACCGGTTTAAAATGGGCTTGTATATTCAGGATTCACAACTATTCTCTTGGGAAGGGACTAGCATCCTCATTTGATAGATAAAGAAATGGAGACTCTAAATGGGAAAATGACTTACGCATTTTTATCCTACTGAGAATTTAACCCAGAACCCACATTACCAAATTGTTACTGTAGAGGCTGGGAGTAGTGACTCACACCTGTGATCCCAGCACTTCGGGAGACTGAGGCAGGAGGATTGCTTGAGCCCAGGAGTTTGAGACTATCCTGGGCAATGTAGTGAGACCTTTTCTCAACAAAAAATTTTTAAAAATTAGCCAGGCATATTGGTGCATGCCTGTAGTTCCAGCTACACAAGAGGCTGAGGTGGAAGGATTGCATGAGCCCAGGAGGTTGAGGTTTCAGGGAGCCATGATTGTGCCACTGCATTCCAGCCTGGGTGACAGTGAGACCCTGACTCAGTAAATAAATAAATAAATAGCATTGTTACTGTAGGTTTCTTCCTCCTCCTAGTCTCCGTCCCTATCCCCAAACTACCCTCAAAGCCATTTTTCCAGAGGAGGCTGTCCCAGGTTGCCAACCTGCAGTTGTTGAGGTCCTGCTGGGCACCAGGCCACACCCCATGCAGGGCAGCTGGAGGGGACAAAAGCATCTCAAAGGTTTATGGCTGGCTGAGTGAGGAGGGACCAAGCTGACATTCTAAGTCCAACTCTTCTAGAGTGTCTGGCAGCCCCGGGAGCTTTGCTTTTTCTAGCTGAAGAAATGTACAGCTGTTGCTATGGCGAGAGCCTGGCTGTCTATCTGCCTGGGACTTGCTCTAAATCCTTTTTAGTTTTTACCCTCTTTAGTGCATTTAGTTCCCAGTTCCCAGCCAAGGCCTGTGGTCTGCAAATAAAGATGTCAGCCGCTGTGCTGCTGAGCACACAGATCTTGGGCACCACACTGCTGCCTTCAAAGCTTCCTGCCTTCAGTCCCATCTAGACATAGGAGGGAGGCTGCAGCACCTACTAAATTGTATTGTGTTTCATTTTTCATTCTTAGGGGGAGTACAGATTTATTTCAGAAAATTTGGAAAACAGAAAAGCACAGAAAACTTTAGTAATTATTCACTTATTATTAGTTCCTGAGAACTTGGTATATGCTAGGTCCCTAGGCTGGATGTGACAGATATGGACATGAATAATACATTACCTATCTTCCCATCACTAAAAGATAACCACCATTAATATCTTGGCAAATTTCCTTTCAGTTTTTAAAAGTAAGCAATTTTTGTTACATATTTTAGAAATCATTTCTATTATGTATGTACATAATTTTGTATCCTGCTGTTTCTTTAATTCAAGGATAGCATGAGCATGTTTCTATGATATTACAAATATCTTGAGACATTATTGAAAAAAAATTTTTTTTAGATTTAGAAAGCAATCTATGCTTGTTATAAACCATTCATACATTTTAGAAATATGTACTAGAATGTTATTCATATGTATACCCTATCCATAAGAAGTAGACAGTCTTAATACTTTAAATGACTATATGTATTCAACTATTTCCCTATTCTATAACTCTAGATTTTATGATTTTTATTATTAAAAATAAAGCTAAGATAAATATCTTTTTGTATAGAACTTGAGAAAATTTTTTAGATCCTGTTTATGTGATAATTTCTAAGCTGAGAGATTTTGGGGTTAAATGGTATGAACATTTGCATCAGTTTCAATTTCTGTCGATGACATGTAAGTGTATTCATTTCACCATAGCTTTCTGGCATTGAATATTGTAATTAAAAACCACAACATCAAATTTTGTTAACTATGATAGCTGAATTGTATCTTGTTTTAATTTGCATTTCTTCGATGTCTGTTGAATTTTCCATGTTTGTTAACCAGATGTGTACCTCATCTTTTTTCAAGGCATTTTTTTACTGCTTAAGTATTGGGATCTTAATATTCTTCTTATCAATTGTATGAGGGCTTTATATACAAAGTGTGTGAGGTGTAGAAAAGTCTAGAGGCTCATTAAGAGACAGATAAAATTGGCTTCTCTGTATCATATAATAATAGTTAAGGATTTGGAGCTGTGGAATCAGACTACCATGGATTAAATTTTGTCTTTTCTACTTTGTAGTTGTCTCTCCTAAGTAAGTAATCTAACTGCCTCAGTTTTCTTATCTGAAAAATGTGAGTAATAATAGTATCTATCACATGAGTTTCCTGTTAGGAAATAATAAGAACATATATATAAAGTTTTTAGTACAGTGCCTGGCTAGAACTTAATTAACATGAACTCTTGTCACTATTACTATTTCCCAGATAATCTTTTCATATTTCTGGAATATTTGTACCTCTAACCTTCTTCCACCCCATTTATCAGGCTATCTCATTTTGTGCTCTTGCAGATCAGCCAAATGGCCGATGACACAGTTGCAGAGCTGGACAGGCATCTGGAAGTGAAGACCAAAGAGCTCCTTGGATGAAAGTCCATCAAGGGCCAACAACACTTCAGAGTTTTTGGTGGATCCCATGGGTGGCAAATTGGCATCTCTCTCCACCCCCCATCTGTACAGAATAGGCTGTCACTATGCCGTCAGTCCTTTTGAGGCCCAGCCTTCCAGTGAAATACTCAGACTTGATTTTCTTCCTCCTATCCCCTGCCCACCCCATTCTTCTCTGGGCCTTCTGGCATGGGTGGCCCTCAGGTAGTATCTGCTGCTAGCAAAGGGCCTTTACTTGGGCCTTTGCCATGGCTGTGATGTCATCAAGGGACTGGGACCATAGGCAAGCTTAGTACCACCTGCTCCTCATCTCAGGAGCCTCCTTTTCAAACAGTTAGTCAGACCCTGTCCCCAACTCTACTTAGATTGTTGTGCACCTTCACCTGTAACTAGACACCTTTGCTAGAGGCCCATTTTTGCCAAACAATAAAATTGAAATAGATTGGAAGGAATAATAGCCTCAAAAGAAAGGACAGAGTTGGTCTGGATTGATGATCTCTAAGGACTTGTGTGTGAAACAACCAGAACAGTAATTTTGCCTCTGGGTCATCTTCACACGTGTTCTTTTCTCTGCTTGGACCACTCTTCCACTCCTTACCTGGCCAGTCCTATTCATCTCCAGGTCTTGGCTTAGATATCACTTGCTCTGGGAAGTCTTCCTTTTCCCCCAACCTAGGACCCTTGTTATCAGCTCTCATAGCACAGTCTACTGCTTTTACATGAACCCTAAGTATTCTTTTTGCCAGTTAATTAGTCTGTGTATCCTCAGAACTTGATGTCATACCTACAGCATAGTAAGCATTCAAATGTCTGTATTGTGAATAAATTGTGCACAGTAGCTACCCAGCAAATTCTGACTTCTTTTCTGTTCTTAACTCTGTCTTTCTGTCATTTTTCTACTCTTGTCCTTGTCCTCAGCATTTACTTGGTAATAAGACCTTTCCTCCAGGATCTGCCGTTGTTGGCAGACATGTGGTTTGTCGTGGCCCATCTTTGGGTACTGGGTTAAGTTAGGTTCTTTCTCCCCCACCCCCAGTTAATTATTATTCATCCGTCCATCCATCCATCCATCCATTCATCATATTATTCATTCATAATATAGCCATCATGAGTTAGATCTAGGCATTATTTATAATCTCCACAGTAAACTTGAGAGATGTGTATTATCTCCCAAAAATAGGAAAACTAAGACTTGACCGTATCAGGTAACTTGTCCAAAGTAACAGCGCTAGTAGAGGGTTTTCATTATTCATTGTCATTGTTTTTTATAAAGAGGTAAAGTTACACAACTAGCAAGTGGCAGAGCTGATTCAAATTGGGGCCTGTTTCTAAAGCCTGTGCTCTGCCCACTAATGTAAAAGGAAAAAAAAAAGAACTTTTTTTTCCTGCTATATTCACATTCAACATGGAAGGAACACTTCTGTGACCAAATGTGTGAGGCTTTTTTCCCCACACACCAAGCAGTTCTCCAGACACGAACTTTGCTCTATAATTCAGTTCTTCTGACACTACTTACCTGGAGATGGTGTCAGATCCCACAAGTTGAGAGACTCAGCCCCACAAGACTGCCTCCACTTTATGCCAGTCAGAAGTCTGGACCACTTATCTTCTGACTGACCAGTTACAAACCAGAGTTTCCATCTCTCTCCATGGTTTGATGAATTTGCTAGGATGACTCACAGGGAAACACTTGGTTTAATGGCTATTATAAAGGATACAGATGAATAGTTGGATAAAGAGGTTCCTAGGGCAAAGTATGAAGAAAGGGTGCAGAGCTCCCACGCCCTCTGGACTCACTGTTCTCCCAGGACCTCCATGTGTTCAACAACTCAGAAGGAATCATTGCATCCTATTGCCTTTGTAAGCATTTAGTGAGCACCAACTGCTTGTTAGGTACTATACTATGTGCTGGGAATACAGATATGGGTAAGACAAGACCCTTGTCTTTGTGGGGTGTGTAGTGCATTTAACTAAAATGCCATCTATAATGTGTGGAAAATAGGAAGTTCATTCCAGTTCTGCCAGGATTTTGCCTTCAGAATGGAGTCCATTTTGATGGCAGCCAGGGCCTAGACAAGTTCTTTCAAAGTGGCATCCAACTTCTCCTTGCTGTTTGACTTTCCCCAAACACTGTCCTGTGCAGAGGTAATAAGGGTTGCATTTCTCCCTTTGCTTATACTGGTGGAACATGCTGTGAAACAGCCAGTGAGGCTTCAAAGTCAGAATTAGGTGAAAGATGAAAGAAAGTAATGCAGTCTCCTGTCCTGCTTACCTGTCCTCAAACCCCATTTACCAGCCCTTAGTGGGCATCATGTGATTGGAAGTCAGCTGGGGGGAAAACAGGGATAGAAATGGCAATTAAAGAGCCTCTTTTGGGGTAAGCCACATGATGGGGGCTTTGCAACAGTCTTTCATGAGTGGCCGAAATCCCCCTCACTGCAAATGTGCTTCTCAAAGATGCAGGATTTTTTAATAAACAGAGGAAATGATAAATTATGTTGTAACTCCACTCCAAAGGCATTCAGTTCTTAACAGCCAAATCCTCTGTAGTCTTTAAATAAACAAAAACTTATTTGGTGAACAGACGGGGGGAAAATGAAAGATTTTCTGTACTTGGGTTCCACATGTCAACAATTTCTCTCCTGTGTATATGTTGGCCAAAGCTGTATCATGATAAATGAATAAAGGAAAACCTCGAGCCCAGGGCAGTCAGACAGCTCAGCAAATGGCTTTCAGCTGATGGTTCTATTTCAGTTGACATTTATCAAAGAGTTTCTGTGTTGCTCAGTGTGTCAGGGCTGCAGTGGTGGCAGAGACGAGAATGAGACTACCTGTTTGGATGTGCTGAGTAATGAGGAATGCTAGAGCAATTCATTCTTCCTCTCTTCCTCCTGTAGTTTCTCTTTCAAAAAGAAAAGCTAGGTATGGAAATTCTTACACTTGTCAGAAGAATTCACCACCTCTTCTGTTCAGTTCAACAGCTTTCAAAGTCCCATAAAAAATTCAGACCAAAGAGAATCTGAGAATCTTTTTTTCTCTATTTTTTCTTATTTGTGTGTGTGTGTGTTGGGAATTACAAAAGAAACTGGAATATAAAAAAACTCAAGGATCCAATCTTATTCCCTTTTGAAATTAGGCATATAGTCTTTCAGACCTTTCTTTGTACATACAAGGGAGGAGCTAAAAAAAAAACCCAGGAATTTATTCATAAAAATTGTATATTCCTACATGTTTAAACTTCAGTTACCTTCAAAGTACTCTCCGTTTGATAACAATACGCTTATCAAGACACTTTTTCCATTACTCATAACAGTTTTTGAACTCGTCCATTTTGGTTCCTTTTAGTGCTTCTGCTATTTTTTTATTTTACCTCTTCCTCATGGGCTTCCCTTTGAGGACTTTTTTCATCTGGGGAAACAAAAATCACCTGAGGCAGGATTGGGTGAATAGTGAAGGGTGGGGCATGGAGGTCATGCTGGTTTTGGTTAAAAATTGCTGAACACTTAGCATGGTGTGGGCAGGTGCATTGTCATGGTGGAAGAACCAGTCACCTGTTTGCCACAACTTGGGACATTTCTTCTGCAGATTGTGCTGCAACCTTCTCAAAACTTCCAGATAAAAACTCTGGTTGACTATTTGATCTGGAGGAACAAATTCCGTGTGTATTACAAGGGACCCATCCTCCAAAAGATAATTTCAGGGTTTTTGGGGGTCCCTCTTGTATGTAGTTTTTTAAAAGTTGGGAGGGGAGCTAGTTTGTTCATATTTTGAACTTTGTTTTTCCTTAACCCAGAACAATCGTGGTCATCTATCCATGTGTGTACATTAAGATACAATTCATTCTTTCATCACGATGCAATATTCTGTCAACTTATTTCACTATTACCCTATGACATTTTTAAAAAATTACTTCAACTGCATTGGAGGATGTTTGTATTAAAATTTTTGTTTTAAGAAAAAAAACCCTACTCCTTTTGGCAAGTTCTCTTCTTCCTCAACCTCAGACTAACATTTATTGAATGCCTATTGTCTAGACCCTTTACATGTGTTACTACATTTAAGCTTTGAACAGTCTTTGTTAATGTAGATATCACTATTATCTGTGTTTACATAAGAGAAAACGGAGGTTCAGGAGGGCATTTAGCTTGCCCCTGCTCACACAGCTAGTAAGTGCTAGAGTGAAGTTTCAGACTCAGATGTGACATTGAAGTGGGTCCTTAATCAGTGTACTTGGGTTTATAAGTCTTTACTTAGTACTTACTCAGAAGGGACCTAGCACTGTTCTGGACCTAAAAGATGATGTAAGAGAAGCAGAAGTCTTAATTTCATATAACAATTACCAAGTTGTTTCTAATAAAAGCCTGCATGTACAACAGCACAGTACCTGGCACATTAGTAAATATTGAAGAAATGATAGTTCTTATGGAGGCAATACAGACTGTGTATTCATTCCCCACATTTGGCAGACTTCCCTGGAATATATCAGAGAACCAGGGAACAAGCAAAATGATCACCAAGCGGTGAATAATGATAATCACAATAACAATAATAGTATTGACAGTATCAATAATATTTGGTGCTTTTTAGTTTTCAAACTACTTCTATATCCTTTATCTCACTGAAACCATTTATCATAAAAGCTCACATCCTCAAATGTCATTTATCAAGACTTTCTTTTGCCATAGATGGTCAGTTTTCATTATGTACATTTGGAAAGGTGTATTCTCTATTTGGGGGTACAAATTTTGGAATGTAAACAGGAATTATAGCTTATAGATTAGATTTTCTATATTCTTATTTCTTGACCTTTTGATGAGTCTTGGACTAAAAGTGGTGTGTTTCAGATTCCTGTTATTAACATTTCTATTCTCAAAAAACTTCAGTAGCTCCCCACTGCCTGCTAAATTATGTAAACTCTTCACCCTGGCATTCAGTAACTTCTGCAGTCTGGGCCTTATATATCTCTTTAGTTGTGATGTGTTTCTCACAACTACCCTGATACATCCAATGCTTAAGCTAAATGGAATTACTCGCTTTTCTGAAATTTTGTGCTGCCCTCTCCAACCTCCAGGCCTTTCCTTGGACACTGCCTAGTAAGTGCTCCCTTAAACCCCTGCCCCCACCCAAAAGACTAAACTTACCTAACCTTCCAAGTCCTCCTTTGACCCATGTCCTTCCTCGCACTAACGCATTCATTTATCTATCTTGTTGTGTCTCCTGATTCCCAGACCTGCAGGTGCCTATCGAGCGTCTCTGCTGGCTGTGCCTCAAGCACCTTGAACTCAGTGCCCGCCTGGAGTCCACCCCTCCTGTGCTTTGTGTCAGGGAAACTCCTTACTATGTACCCAGGAGCCAAGCCAGGACTTTGGGAGTCACTTTTGCCTTCCCTTCCTCACCCCTCATCTAAGAAGTCCCTGAGTCCTGTCAATTCTACCTCAAAATTCCTCTCTTTTCATTCCTGGGCACACCCTGGAGCAGTGCTTACCAGGGAACCAATGTGACAACTGTTCCGGGCTGGCCTCCCCCGAGTCTCTGAGCACTTGGCTCAGACGTAGGACACGACTAACAGATAAGCCTATGTAAGTCCCTGGAAAGAAAGTTCCCTAATCTGTTAATCTTTGCTTCTGACTAGCAGTGCTTGGCACAGAACCAGTGTGAGAAAATGTCCAATTCTAATGGGCCTGTCAGCTCTTGCTACAAGTGTCATATTTCTATCAATAACCCAGTTTCTCTAATCACTCTTGCTTGCCCAGAACCATCAGCCTCATCTGCTAAGTCGGCCTCAAGAGTTTCTAGACATCTCCACATGGTGACCACAGACACTGGTGTCTGCCATGCTCCTCCTCTCCCA